CAGGCACCATCAGCTTTCTTCACCACATTTGCTTATGCACCCGCTTTGTCTTCAGTGATCCTCTCTGGAAGGTGAGCATCAGAAATGTTATTTTTAATGTGATAGATGGCACAATAAGGGTTATTAAAAGAAGCAAATTAACATGATATATTTTTCAGTCCAAATTTTCTAGCTTTTCTCCCGATAGGAGTCAACTGCCAGGTGGTTTTGGAAACTCACCCTTTGTTTCCCATCACCAACGCATCTGATGGCTCCGAATGACTGCCACTCAACAGTTCATCTGAAGCCATGCCATCTCCCAGAGACAGGGTCTTGTCAGCCTTTGATGTATTGTAACTGGTTCTCTCCTTAATTCCTGCAGATAAAACTCTTCGTCATGCTGGCTTCTCAAGCTGATAACCAGAGGGTCCTACTGCGGCAAATAGTTCAGGAACCGTTTTCGTGTAATATCTGCAAAAACCTCAGCATGTTAAGACTTGGATCAATGTTGCTGATTTTTGGCATCACGTTGGTGGTTTTGCATTGGAACCATGCCTCCCTCGGTATTGGAGCGGTCATGGTGGTTCTTGGGGTTCTTGTGTCCACCATTAGTGGGGGGCTAATCTTCTATGACATGTGCTGGAAGTCAGAGGGATTCCCTACTCCCCACCGGAAGGCAATTTCAAAGCACAAAGTTGGCTGGAATCCAGTTCCCAATGAAGCGCCAGAGGCACCAGAGGCCAATGACTCACAGTAAACGTTAAGCCTGGGTATCTTTGAGCCTTTGGAATGGGCTTTTTAAAACTTCCCCGAGCATTTTAAAAATAGAAATAAAAGTTGGCTTTTAAAAGGCTTGTTATCTGGTATGGATTTTCTTCTTGCCCTCCTGTAAACTATTTATTCTGCAGAAATCCTTGCTCTCTCAGCTTGACATCAGATGGATGAACCAGCTTCCTCCTCCCTGTTGCTGCATCCACCAACCTCCTTGCTCTTTGCCATCGCTGAGGATCCACTCGCTCCTCTCACTTGCTCTTCACAGCACACCTGCAGACCGTTACCTGCACAGAGAGAACCCATCCCAGACTAGGTGCTCAGCTCACAGCCCTTTTCACTGGCCCTGTTCTCCCTCTCGCCACTCCGGATGCCACTGCCATGGTCAGGTCCTGGACCTTGGCATCATTTTGCCTGTGAGACCTGAAATCATCATTTCAGGGAGCTCATTCTCTGGCCACAGACCCTCTATCCTTCTCAGTCATTTTACCGAGATCCCTCACTTGACAATCTCCAATGAGAGGGAGATGTCCAACCCTTTGATGCTGTGATCTCCCACAATACCTGGAATTTCTCTTGTACTACTTGGGCTTGGACTTTTTGCCCCCTTCTAACTCTGCTCTATCTCTCTGGCTGTATGTGAACTTAGCTTCATGGACCCTCCAAGCTATAGGTGGATCCAAGGAGACAAATATCTTGGAGCAATAGAGACGTCCTTAAAATCAGTCAGAATCGACTTGCTGGCAGTGTGAGAGCCTCAGAGGGCCACTCCCTCCGAGAGCCACTCCCTCTGCTTTCTTGGTGCTTCACTGTGCTTCCTCCGCACATGCTGCCAGGGCTGGAGATGGGCATGCTCTTCTGAGAAAACTGGCCCAGGAGAATTCTCTTGCCTGTCATTGGGGGGTCCTCTGATAAAGTTGACTTATCATGCCTCCTTCTCACCCCAAAATCATGCCAATAGATCAACAAGCCCTACCCAACAGCCTTTGAGTCCCTCACCCTGAACAGGAGAGGGAGGAAGACTCTAGTAACAGTGCTTCTACCATGATGAACATACTGGGCTGCTTCAGAAGGACCATGAAGAGAGATGGTAATGTGAACAGTAAATCCAATCTTTCAGCTTGTAAGCATGCTCAGACATGTGGTAGGAGACTATATCACAGAAATCGAGTGAAAATAGGGTTGCATAAATCAGTGGGGGTGAAGACTCTAGAAAAATGAGTTCAGAAATTGAAAAGCCCAAGAGTTGGGAAGATAAAGTTGAGATATAGGCGATGTGAGCCATTTACAGTGGCAAACTATTAGGAGCAATCTTAACTGAGATCGTAACAGTCCTTACAACCCGCATCCATCTGGGTGAGGTGTCCACTAAGTTCACAAAAAAGCACACCAGCCTGTGTGAGCCAAGGATTATAAATAATAAAATCCAAGTCTGGAGGAGGGAACTGAACTTAAATTCTGAGCACCCAGTTTTCAGAAGGCTATAGATGACAGTGAAAGCCCAAAATCTATTTGCAGGGTCCCTATGTGGATTAAGCCTCAAGTGAATCCCTTCTGATGGTTGATGAGGGTTGTGTCTTGCTATTAGAGCATACTGGAAAGTAGATGAATGCAGATGTAAGGTTAAAATTAAACACATTTTTATCTCTTTTGACCCATTTAAAATATGTCCTAGTTTTTATTTTCTGCTTTCTTTTTAATCGAGGTTTTCCTCTGTTTTATTTTGTTGTTGTTGTGTTTTTTTATGTTTTCCTTTGTATGAAATCGAGGCTGTAGAGACAGTAACTAGATTCATAGTTTCTTGGAGTTATGGCAGGGGAGGTTCGAGGGAAATGGAGCTAATAATGAGTACAAAAAATGTTCTAAAATTGTGATAATTACACAACACGAATATGTTTAAACTTTTGAATTATGAGATGTAAATTGTGTCAACAAAACTTAATTTAAAAAAATAAAGTAACAACCAATCTAAAAATCAAAAACACACTCAGCAATTCTGGGCAGAGGAATAATTGATGATAACTGAAGAAAGGCTACAGGAGATCAGATTCCAAATTGTAAGTGACCAAAGAGTCGGCCACGACCAGTATTATCATAGGATTTTCTTAAAACTCGAAGACCCCAAGTTCGTCCCTAATAGCCTTAGAGACCACTTCTTGCTATAATTCATTCATTCATTAGTATCTGCTGTCAATCACACACACTCTCCACTCTGACATGGAGGTGCTAACTCAGCCTGTGGTTCACAGGTTCCCACGGAAACGTGCTGCTCATTGGGTCATGCACTTGTTCTTCCTGTCTTTCCCAAAGCGATGAAGTCACGAGGCCAATCTTCAGACCCTGCTGATGCTGCCGACGTGAGTGCTTAGAAGCCCATGACTGAGGATGTCTGCATTCTATCTCCACCAGTGTTCCTCCACCCGAAGTGAACATGTGCGTGTTATTAATACGTAAGGAGGAGGATAAGGCTTTCTACTCCGGTCAAGAGTTATCGTCTCGGAAACTCACAGGGGCAGTTCTACCCTGTCCTGCAGGGTCGCTGTGAGTCAGCGTTGATTCAGTGGCAGTGAGTGAGTGATGACTACATCACGTATATATTTTTAAGGGCTATGCTTTTAGCAAAAGGTGATCAGTAGAATCACCGGCTGAGATTTTTTTTTTTTTAATCTACTTGCCAGAGTCACGCCCTAGTCTTTGGCTCACTAGGTCTGCCGACAGTCCGTGGGCCCCATGGAGGGGTACCAGAGAGGTACAAGTCCCCTGTGGGCAAGTTGAGCTGGAATGGGTGGCCTTGGGTGACCTGACCCTAGATGCATGACCTTCAGCATGTGCAGCTGGGTGGTGTACCATGCAGGTAGAGGATGAGTGGCTCCCTGCTGCCCATCTCTACCGTGGGAATGTCCTATCTACAGATCCCTTAAGCCATGTTCTGCCCTGGGCGATGCCAGGCCAAAGGGTCATGTTCTGGGCCTACCCACAAGGGACCTTTGCTATCTTGGGCTTCCCTTGGTGAGAAGGACTCCGCCGAATGGAGGGGACCTGGCCCTCTCGTGGGTTCAGGACAGCACCCCAGGACACCACCTGTGCTCTTCTTTCTGGCCCTGCCGGTTTCAGGGGCGAATGCTGCCTCTGCTTCTGGGAACTCCCCCTTCTTTTCTTGTCGAAAACAGTTAATCATAAAGTTTTGTTGGGGTGTGTGTGTGTGTTTATGCTTAAAAACATTGCCATTAGAATTTCATTGTGCATGCGTCACCTGGATCATTGATTTAAGCTGGGGCATCGTCTTGATCGTGGATTTAAGCTGGGCATCGTCTTGATCGTGGATTTAAGCTGGGGCTGGCAGTGCTTGTGTTCATTTTGTTTGGGGCTCCAGTGAGTTCTTTTGTCTGAAGAATTGCCTTTTATGAAACTTTTAAAACATTTCTTCCTATTCCTGAGAAAATTATTCTCAGTCACCTCTGAGATCTCTCCGTTTCTCATCTCTTGGTGTATTTGTGCGTGTTAGTCTTATTAGCTTCCATGTTATTTCTCCATGTATAAAATGAAAATGGAAATGTTACTTTAAAGGAGTTTATGGAATCAATTTTTTTTCCTATTTCCAAAACTTTTCCATCACCCCTAATTCCTTAAACAATAGCTCGTGACCTCATCCACTCTCTGCGGGTGGTACATTTGGCTATCTAGGGAAACGACTTTTTAATTGGGAATAAAGTCCTGTCCTCAGTCTGTTTGGGCATCCTCCGAGTCAGAGGGAGCTTTCTCTCTCCCTCCAAGGAGCTCGGGGCTCTGACAGATGAACTGACTCGTGGTTTTCAAACGTTCGAGGGCTTCTGAATCTCCTGGCCCCATGTTGCCATCAAGTGACCCTTGAGGACAGAACAGCACTGCTCCACAGGGTCCCGAGAGTGTCACCCTTACAGAAGCAGACCGCCCCATCTCCCTGCGTGACCTGTAACCCACCACCAGCCGGTCAGTTCCGACGCCTGGTGTACTCTACAGCACAGAACTGCTCCTGAATGCTTCTGGGCCTAAACCTGCATGGGAGGTTTCATGGAAGCTTCTCATCTTTCTCCCAGGAAGAGCGGGTGGGTTGGAGCCGCAAACCTTGCAAGTGAGCAGCCCAGCGCCTGACCCACCACACCACCAAGGTTCCTCTCCAAACTGTTAACCCAAAACCCACTGAGTCACTAGACTCCCCACTCGTCAGTCTCTGCAGCTGGTCTTTGGGGGAGCAGTCAGCCGCAGAGTTGCTGGTGGTATAGAATTACTGGCCTTGCTGCCCGCCGCCTAAGCCACAGCGGCACCAGGTGAATTAGGCATAAAAAGCTCACCTGGGGCATATCATGAGGCCCTTTGGGAATCCATGCTTTTACAATTCTCTAATCAAGATGCTTTTCCCATAAAAAAAAGCGAATGGTTTTTCATTCTCTGATGCGAGTGGCGGTCCGGCGGAGGTGGGCTGGCTGGTCCCTACTCTCTTTTTAAGATGCTTCTTACCCTTTTGGCATCAAGTAAGTACAAGGGGAATGGCCCTGGTGGGTGGAAGCGCTGGACGCGTCTATACTTGCATCACGCTAAGTCAAATTGCTAGGTGCTTTTTCAAGAAGCACGAATGGCCGTGTGATGTGATCAAATCGCCCAGCAGTCATCTATTGTGACAGCCGAGAGAGTGACTGTCGCTCTTGGCTCCAGGGAGGAGTGGCTGCCTCAGAAGCCGGATGGAAGAGCTCTCATCTGTCGGACGGAATCGACTAGGAAAAAACCCTCGAGTTTTTAGTGGGAATTGTGAGAATCATGTCATATTCTAAATATACTGTTTAATACGTGGTAGTATATTACACTGAGGTTCTATCATGCTGAGCCATGCCTCGGGCAGCTCTGGATTGTGCCTGTCTGTAGGGAAGTATGGTTTAAAAATCCACATTGACCAAACCCACTACTCTCACCAGGGGTCCTCAAACTATGGCCCGCGGGCCACATGCGGCCCACAGAGGATATTTATCCGGCCCGCCGTGTGTTTTTGCCCTGTTTGTGTTTTTAATTCAGTATAAGATATGTGCAGTGTGCATAGAAATGTGTTCA